AAAAAAAAAAAAAAAAAAAAAAAAAAAAAAAAAAAGAAACCACCATCTTCCATGATTCCTTGACTTCACCTTCCCTTGAAAACTTCCTGAACTATTAAGAGAAACTTACCCTTCCATTATGACGGGAAGACTTGTAAAAGCCAACTGGACAGTTACCGGAAGTAGCAGGCAACTGGGCAGAGCCTTCTGGAGAGAGTGTTCTGCTCCCTTACTTGTATTCCTCAGACCTCAGAGTATCAAGTGTCTGTTCCTCAGTGTCCCCAGGCAAGTGTACACTTGTCTCTTGGGGGTATTCTAGTCCTGGAAGTCACAGCATTGTCTTTGTCTCTCTCAGCCCCCATTCCTTTTTTTCAGTCAGTACTGACCATCTTCAGCTGCTAACTCTCTGGAAGCCTAGACCTTGACTTATGTAAAGGAGAGGGGCGCAGGCCTGCAGAGCCACGCACACACGCGTGCGCGCGTGCGCGCACACACACTCACCCCCCCACCCCCACTTGTTCACATGCCTGCTGGTCAAATTCCTTGCCCATTGGAGAGCATTGCTTTTAGGTCGTGTTCCTGTTCTGGCAGCTCCTGGCCATCTGGAGCTCTGTCTGTGGCAAGTCGGAGCTGGCATAAGATGGACTTAGCCACTGTTGTAGAATGCAGTCTCCCAAACGAGGCAGCCATCGTCTTTGTCAGCCCTGCCTGCTTGTAAGAGACTGTCACCAGTGGAGTTGTTGGAGGGTGCCATGACCCAAGAGAGGAAGAAGGCAGAGTGTCATTATATCTACAGCTGAGATGTTGGCCCTCCCTCCTGTACCTCCCAGCCATTGCAATACAATTCTGCCCTAATTGCAAGTGACCTCTGGGTCTTGGGCGTGCGTGCGTGCGTGCGTGCGTGCGTGCGTGCGTGCGTGCGTGCGTGCGTGCAGGCTAGAGCATATAAACTGGGCAGGATTGACTGAAGGAGACACCATCTATGCAGCTGTGGTGATGCCATCATCCATGCTACATGTAGACTTTCCTGCAGAGGAGCTTTGGTGAACCTACGCTCCTGTAACCAAGCAACCTGTCACCTATGCTCTGTAAGTAAAATCCAATGAACTCATTGTTTCCCCAGACTGAGCTCCAGTGGAGTCAGACTTCGGCGAGTCTTTGGGACCGTGTAAGGAAGGAGTAGGTATCGTTTAAGTCTCACTAGGAAAGGGATTCTTCAAACAGCTAGTCAAAGGACAGCCTCCATTCTAGAGGGCGGGCTGTTCTTGGCCCAGGAAGAGAAGCTGGAAATTGTTCCAGGAGGCCAGAGACATGCTCCTAAGGCTGCCACTACACCATGTCAGGGCTTGCAGATACTGATTTTTTTTTTTCCTCTCTCCCCGATCTTTTCCAAGCCATTTCAAAAACAAGCTCCATGAAAACCCTCTACTAAATATCTAATAGCAGGAGGCAGATTAAGTATATTCTATTTTAAGAAGGAAATTATGGATTAGTAAAAATTATCTTTCCTGTTGAACCTTGAGCCATAATAATGTAACCACAGCCACCACCACCTCCACCTCCACCACCACCTCCTCCATCACTACCTTCTCCACCACCGTCTTCTCCTCCAACACCTTCTCCACCACCACCACCACCACCACCACC